AGCCTGGGACTTAGGATGCCATCATAGTGAGAGTGCTCAAGCCTGAGCTTTAGGTGTAAAGAGTTAGTCTGTCCTTCAGCTCCTCAAGCTGCCAAATTATTCTCTGACCCTGATAGACATGGCACAGAGAGAGCAGGTGGTGGGCAGGATGGTGAGTTGTCATCTCTGTTCTTCTAACCTTATAGGCCCTTCTGGGATTCTCAGCAGTGCCTGCCCAAGATGCCTGAATTCCTAGGTTACTTCTGAGAATGGCAGCTGTACTCTTGCGAAAATGTGACTAAGGGTCCCTGCCATGGCCTGGGAGCAGTTTTGTTCTGCTACTCTCTTGGTTATATCTTCACAGGATTTTTCTTCTTGGCCTATCCAAATGTCAAAGTCAGCTACACATTTCCTCCTTACTAAGTTGGCTGCGTTCTCATACACAACTACATAATAGCATATCAGAGCAGTGGGTCCACCCTTTTAATATGGGACATTTAGGGAAAGAAAGAATATGTTTTTCATCATGTTCTTTTAATGTATTTCAGTTTCTGGTCATTGACAAATCTTCTGCCCTTTCCCTGAAGAGGTGATAGAGTGCGTCAAGTGTTATTTTGTTGTGGGATGATGGTTATTGTGACCATTACTATCATGGGCACAGCTGAAAGCTGATGCTTCGCAAGTCAATTTCTTGTAGCACTGTGCTCCTTGAGGACCCTGAAAGCTGGCCTGAGAAAGTTTCCAGAGGCTGCCTGTTCTCTCCCTTTCTGTTGCACACATAGCTATATACCAAGCAATTAACTTGGCAATGGGCTGGTACAGGAAGAGACTATCTCACCAGAGCTGGATGCCATGGTGGCAAGATTGACTTATCACCATTGTCGCTAATGTTACGTACTTAAGTTTTAAAGATTTTCTTCCACAACTGGCAGGGAAGGCTTTTCTCCACTTATAAAGGATAAAAGTGGGGCTCAGGGTTGGTTTCCTTTTTCCAAAAGTATCTGCAGCATTCACTTCGGAGGGATATTTCATTGCTGTTACTATCAGATAATCGCCCTTATGCCTGCTGGCTGCTTCCTCCCTTTCTGACTGCTACTTTACCCACTACCACCATCACCAAGACCACAAGCCTGAGAGCTTACATAAAGTTAAAGAAATTAGAGACAGTGCATTTCATGTTGAAATTGGGAAAGACCTCTATAAATGATAGCAAGAATTAGGGTTTGACTTATTTTTATCACTGAGACCAATTACTTATTTGCACCAAGGTAGTAAATAAGATGATCTCCAATATTAAGGTCATTAGTGGCCAAAAATAGATATGTTTACCTTTCTTAACTTTACGTCCAGATCCACTTCGTTTTGGTCAATGTGATGAGGATGCCAGTTGAAGTGAGAGAACTACTGTTCGTGAACTGTTCGGCTTCTGTGGTGGTGTTAGCCCAAGCCACAGTGCACATTCACACTGGAAATATGTTTGATGTTATCAATTGTGTTGTCTCTCACACCACTTTCCAAGGCACTTTAAAAGTTTTCTTAGTGCTTAAGTTTTTATTAAAAAGAAAAAATTTTTTAACACGTATACTGGGATATAATTTACACATCATAAAATTCATCCATACAATTCAGTGTTTTTTAATATATTCAGTGTTGTGCAACCATTACCACTATTTAATTCTAGAACATTTTTATCAGCCCCAAAAGAAACCCCCATACTCGTGTCAGTCATACCTCTTTCTGCCACCCTCAACCTAACCCTAGGCAACTACTAATTTACTTTCTGTCTCTATAGATTTGCCTATTCTGGACATTTTAGAAAAGGGAAATCAAGGTTTATCCATGTGGTAGAATGTATCAGTACTTCATTCCTTTTTATGTCTGAATAATATTCTGTACTATATATCTATGGATATACCACATTTTGTTTATATATTCATCAGTTTATAGACATTTGGGTTGTTTCCAATTTCTGGCTGTTGTGAAGAACGCTGTTATGAACATAAATGTGTACAAGTGTTTGTGTGGACATATGTTTTCATTTCTCTTGGATATATACCTAGGAGTGTGTCATGCTGGTTCATATGGTAACTCTGTGTATAACTTTTTGAGGAACTGCCAAATTGTTTTCCAAAGTGGCTGCACCACTTTACATTCCCACCAGCAATGAATGAGGGTTCCAGTTTGTCTGTACTCTCACTAGCACTTGTTTTTATCCTTTTTTTTTATTATAACCATCCTAGTGGATATACAGTAGTATCTCATTGTAGTTTTGATTTGTATTTCCTTAATGACTAATGATGTCGAGGATTGTTTCATGTGCTTATTGGCCAATTTTATACCTTTGGAGAATGTCTATTCAAATTCAATGTCTACTTATTAATTGGGTTATCTTTTTATTATTGAATTGTAAGAATTCTTTATATATTCTGGATACAATTTCCTTAGCAGACATTATTTGCAAGTAATTTCTCTTACTGTGGGTTGTTTTTTCACCTTCTTGATGGTATTGCTTACTAGCACAAAAGTTTATTTTGACATAATACTATTCGTCTTTTTTCTTTTGTTGCTTGTGCTTTTAGTGTCATACTAAGAAATCATTGCCTAATCTAGTGTCACAAAGATTTACCTCTACCTTTTCTACTAAGCATTGCTTTTGTAATTTTAGCTTTTATATTTAGGTTTGTGATCCATTTTTGTTAATTTTTATATGAGGGTACTTCAAAAAGTTCATGGAAAGATTTTTATTATCTTTCAATTCTATTTTTCCATGAACTTTTTGAAGTACCCTTGTATGTTGTATGAGGTAGGGGTTCTACTTTATTCTTTTGTATATGGATATCCAGTTTTCCCAGCACCATTTGTTGAAAGGACTCTTTCCCCACTGAATTGTCTTGGCATCCTTGTTGAAAGTCAATTAACCGTAAATGTAAGGGTTTATTTCTGGACTCTCGATTTTATTCTTTTGATCTCTATTTTTATTCCTATGTCAGTAACACACTGTCTTGATTACTATATTTTTGTAGTATAGTCAGTCTTGGCATCCTTGTTGAAAGTCAATTAACCGTAAATGTAAGGGTTTATTTCTGGACTCTCAATTCTATTCTTTTGATCTCTATTTTTATTCCTATGTCAGTAACACACTGTCTTGATTACTATATTTTTGTAGTATAGTCATCCCTTGGTATTTGTGGAGGATTGGTTCCAGGACTCCCCAAGGATATAAAAATCTGTAGGTGCTTAGTCCCTTATATAAAATGGCATATTATTTGCATGTAACCTATGTATATCCTCCTATATACTTTTAATCATCTCCAGATTATTTATAACATCTAATATAATGTAAGTGCTGTGTAAATAGTTGTTATACTGTATTGTGTTTTTTGTTTGTATTATTTTTTATTATTGTATTGTTATTTTTAATTTTTTAAAATATTGTCCATCTGCTGTTGGTTGAATCTGAGGATGCGGCCCCGCGGATGTGGAGGACCAACTGTATGTTTTGAAATTGGCAAGTCTCCGACTTTATACTTATTTTTCAAGATCGTTTTGGCTGCTCTGGACCCTTTGAACTTCCATAAAATTTTAGGATCAGCTTGTCAATTTCTGCAAAGAAGGCAGTTGGGATTTTTATGGGTATTCTGTTGAATCTATAGATTAATTTGGGTAGTATTGTCATCTTATGCTAATATTAAGTTTTCTGATTCATGAACATCGGATGTCTTCCAATTTTTTTATGACTTTAATTTCTTTCAGTGATGTTTTGAAGTTTGCAGTGTACAAGTCTTGCACTTCTTTTGTTACATTTATTTCTAAGTGTTTTATTCTTTCTGCTGCTATTGTTCATGGAATTGTTATTTTAATTTCATTTTCAGATTGCTCATTCCTAGTGTATAAAAATGAAATTGATATTTTTATATTGATTTTGTATCCTGCAAACTTTCTTGAGTGCATTTACTAGTTTAATTTTTTTTTTTGGTGGAATCCTCAGGATTTTCTACATATAAAATCATGCCATCTGCAAATAGAGAATATTTTACTTCTTCTTTCCAATCTGGATGTACCCTTAGGTTTTAATCTTTTTCTTCCTTTCATTATTTGGCATAAAATAATATTCCCTGAAGGATGGTGCTATTACCACTGGTGATATGTTAGCTAACTGTGTATGCTACATGAACAGACATTTTTTTATTTTGTAAATATTTAAGTACCTTATTGTATATTAATTTTATTTTAATGGGTATTAGAAATAATATGATTAGCACTTCTAGCTCACAGTTTCATGGTGTCTGCTCAAATATCACTTTATCAGAATGGTCTTCCCTGAACATCTTATTTAAAATAACACACCCTCTTCATTCTTTATCCCTCTACCTTGCTTCATTTTTTTTCTTCATACCACTTATCATAACCTTACATATCATACAAAAATGTACACTTATGTATCACACCCACTAATACATACATGCTTATTGTCTGTTCCTCCCCACTAGGATGTAAGCTCCGTGAGGCAGAGACTGTTTTATTCTGTGCTGGATTGCATTTGCCTTTGAAATTGCAGTGAATATTGAATGAATTAATGGCTTATTGTTTAAAACAAGGTTAAAATTTCTTTTAAGAAAAGGAAGTCAGTTTCAACTTTATTCAATAAAAATATTGAATAAATAGTAGGTGAGGAGGTATACAAATATGGCAGAAGTTATAAAGGCTGTGTAGAATGATAGAAGCTTGGGAAACTCTAACTTAAGAAATGAGGAGAGGTGGGGTAGAGATACGGAGTTTTTAAAATCATTTTCTGTGAAGTGATAAGTTATCTGTTAGCTCAAAGACTTCTCTCTACCATGGGCCAGAGGTCTCTTGAGGCTCTTAAGCTGTAACACATGGAGTTAAACATATGTGGGAAAGTGGTTTCTACCACCTGCCACAGAAACCCTCTTGGCTGTTTTGGAAGTCATCTGGAAGATGTTTGAGGTGCTTTTGTCTGACCATGGAAACTTGGCTTACAGGCCTTTTCTTCTTTGCAGGGCTGTGGGTTTGCAGAGAGCCGAAATGACCATGACTGCCAACAAGAATTCCAGCATCACCCATGGAGCTGGAGGCACTAAGGCCCCTCGGGGGACTCTGAGCAGGTGGGTAGGGGAACACTGCTGGGGGTTGGCATTAAGGGACAGGCCGAAATGACCATGACTGCCAACAAGAATTCCAGCATCACCCATGGAGCTGGAGGCACTAAAGCCCCTCGGGGGACTCTGAGCAGGTGGGTAGGGGAACACTGCTGGGGGTTGGCATTAAGGGACAGCAAATGGCCAGGGTCCTGGGTAGGATTCCTGTCAAAATGTGAGTAATTTTCATCATGACTGACAATCACCAGGTGACTGGTCTGGGCCCAGCTTATGCTGACCATTAGGTAGAAGTCTTCTCTAAAATATATGACATTTTCTGGTTCTATAAGTCTCCATAGGAGATAACAAACAGTAACCCTAAAACGAGCTTTGCTTTGTGCTGTTGGAGGTGCCTAGCATTCCAAGGGTGGAGCCAGCAAGAATCAGCCAATGTTCTTCTGACCTTTTGCCAAGGTGGGGACAGCTTGGAGCCTGTGCTAGGCTGTGCTGGAGCGAGGACGGGTGACCACATTGGGATAGGGTGGTAGGCAGTTATGTATATTAGCACAAGTTCTAAGCAGACATCTAGAATCTATAAGAAGTTAGGCTGGCTGAAAAGAAAGCAGCTTGGATAATTTTAGTCAGTGTACAGTATAATCCACTTTCTTGGTTTTGTCCTCTTTAAAAATGGGAGAATGTAGGACCATAGAAAAACCACAGATTTTGGAATTATATGGAATTGGGTTCAATCCTAAGCTCTAACTACTTACCAAATAATGAGATCTCACACGTTTTCAGTAATAATAGTACTTATCTCTCAGAGATGCTTTGATGATTAAGTAAGATAATACATGTCAGTGCTTAGCATGGTGGCTGTCATAAAGCCACCAATAAATGTTAGCTCCCTCGCTAGGTGAGGTAAAAGCTTCCAGAACTGGCAGATAGACGTACAGTGCTCTCACGAGGGCTCCTCAGGTCTTGGCCAAGGCTTGGTGCTTATGTCCTAGAAGAACCTCCAGGCTCTTTATTAAAGCTATGTACCTTTCATAGTTCCTTCTGCTGAGTCTCAGGTGGACAAATTTGGCTTTTGGGACCTCAGCCACTAGGATAGATAGCTATGAGAAGGATGCACAGCTTTGGTTGAGGTAGTTCCTTCTTGGATGTCTGGGCTGTGCAGTGCTAGGCTGAGTCCGTTGGGGTGTGGCACACTCAGGTCTGGCCAGAGGTGATGGTAGATGTTTGGTTCATTCAGAGCTGGAGTCCAGATACGGTTGGTAGAATAGGGCACAGGATGTAGTTCCTGGGGAGTGACTGGCATGTATGAGGCAGGGGTTGCCTACAGCATACATGCAGGGCTTGGTCCCAATAGAAATGGTCTGGACGGACTGTGCCAAACAGGGATTGGTAGGCTCTGGTTTGTTAAGTGCATAAGAGCTCAGGACTTAGCCAAACCAATTGAATATATACTGTGTGGCAGCAAGACCGATAAGAACACCCCTGCCCCTGCCACCTCTCTAACCTAGACTGGGGTTGCAGACATCCTGCTTCCCTGAACTGGGTGAGGCTGGGAATGGCAGAGACCAACAACGTTTTGGGTAAAACAGGTGGAGAAACTGAACTCTTCCAGAGCATGTTGGTGGCCTAGGCAGAAACTTATCTAGATCTCAGAGTCTTTTTCTCTTGTTGCCTGCTTCTGGGAACCACTTTGCTGGGCTCTCACCACCCTGGTGACATGTCTTACTCCTCTGTTTTACCGTAACTGAGTTGGCAGATGGAGACTGGGAATTAAGGCTCCCACCCCGTCTTCTTTTAATATTGGACTGTGGTAAGGGTGAAATAAGCATATATGACTGTATAATTTTATTCTTAATTTTAAAGAAATAGTATATTTAGAACCTGACTTGGAGATTACCATACCCAACAGCCCTCAACTCCTTTAAGTATTCATTTTTTCTGCTAATTCCCACCATACAGGGTGGGGTGGGGTGGAGCAGAGGTAGTGGTGAGAGATGCAGTATTCTCATCAAGTTGCAGAGCAGAATCAGGACTGTTGACAGGTGCCCCAGTTGCTGTTTGGAGTACATGCCTACCGTGTTTCTAAATGTTTTCAGAAATTGCTCTTCCTTTAGCTTCTTGGCATGCTTGCCATTATAACATGCTACATGGTGTTTGTAAATATCTGAGCTTCAGATGTGCCTAAAAAAAGCATCTTTCCAGCCTCCCGTCTAAGTATTCACTTCTTCCTGCTACATTTCTATTCGTCTCCCTCCCTTCCTCCTTCTTTCTTTTCCTGGGAACCTGGCTTTTACCATGAAGTCATAGGCCTCAGTGCTAGCTACACCCTTCTCTCAGAGGCTACCCCTGGGCTGTAGGTGTTATTTAGACATTATGATCTGGTGGTTTCTCTAGCTGCCTTCACCCCTAGACACATCTAGGTGTGTTCTTTGGGATAAGGTAGTGAATGACTGATTCATTTAGGAGATCATTGCCAGTGAACTCTGAGGGTTCTCCTAAGTGCCAGGCTCTGTGCTGGATATTGGGGGACAAAGAGCAATGATCCATTCTTTCTCCAAGGAATTTACAACTTGGATTGATGATCTTGGCACCTGAATTTCTTAATCTGACCTTTCAACAGACATTTGGCAGTGACCCGGGACTCTTTTGTCATTGCCAGCCCAGGAGTCCAAGGAGGAAGAGACTTGTTGGTGTGGCCAGAACTTTGGCTGGGGAGGGCAGGAGTGCTAGGTCCTTGGAAAGCTGGGCCTTTGAACTGTGGCTTCTTTGGGGGATCTCCACATTATTCACATGAAGGTAGAGGAACCAAGTGGTATGAAAAGGCATTTGTATCTAGCTTTCGGCACAGGAGGAGCTCTGGGGCATGGAAAACTGGGGGAGGTGGGCAGATGGGACCCCACAGAACTGTCAAGATACGGATTTGCAGGGCAGTATCCTTAATTGGCATAAGATTTCACCTGGTGCTGCCACCAAACCAGTCTGGGTTAGAGATCCTGGATTCTATTCCCTAGGTTTTTACAGGTGTTTTGCTAATTTGTTCCTTTCCTTTTCCTTTGCAGCCCAGTCTTGATTTGGCAGGAGTGTGTAGGAGGAAGAAATCTAAGCCTTTTCATTTGATCACCTAAGTTTTGTTCTTTGCTGTGTCTTGGTGTCCTGAAGCAGGTTACCTTTTCTCTTTGTTGGTGAGGCCAAGTGGACATACTGCTTTACCCTTACCTGCGAGATACACCTCCCCACAGGCTGCTCCAGCTCACAGGATTAGGCTGCATCCAGCTCTGAGGGAAGGGGGTGGGATTCTCAAAGCTCCTCTGAATTCCAGAGGTCAGGCTTTATTGTGTTGGTGTTGATGACCTGGGGTGGAACTAGAAGTAGCTTGGTGACTTGCGCACAAGGAAGCGTTATGTTTAGAGCTAATTCAGCTGCCTAGATGGGGTATACTTTGCCACTTATTGCTCTTAGGAGATTTCACTTGTGCAGTAAAACCTGGCAGGCAGCAAGGGTTCTTCTCAGAAGACCTGCTGTGTCTGCTGATTTCCCAGATAGCTTCTTCACAGTGAAAACTGGTACATTGCAGCTTGGAAATCCAGGCTGTCAGTCTTGTGTTTGGGAACTTTGCTTCTGGTTGTAGGTGCAGGAAACCTGGTGTCTGTAAGAATGTAGACTTCTTGAGGACAAGGACTTTGACTTCTGTGTTCTTAGAGCTTGAAACGAGGCTTGGAGGACATTAACTATTTCTTGATCAGTTGAGTAGATATCCAGAAGGGCAACCTCTTAGAGCATAGGCTGCTATGCTGTTGAAGTCCTTGTAGTACCTTCTTAGTGGATCTTCTTAATTTTGGATTCTCTTGCCACCCAGTCTATAGATTCTTAGAAAGGCAGATCTGAAAAGGGGCCTTTAGAACTCATTCCATCTAACCCACTTGATTTACAGATTGGGAAACTGAGGCACAGAGAAGATGGTTACTCCTCAAGAATTCAAAGCTCATGGGAGGAAGAACTGAAGCCTACTTCTCTTGATCCCTTTGTTATTTTATTCTGCCACTACTTTCATATCCCTATAAGCATTACTGGGATCTCCCTGATCAAAAACTATCATTGATAAAGTCAAACATAGCCTGGTTTGCAAGGCTTTCCATGATCCGGCCCTGGTCTTTCTTTCTACTCTTATCTTTTGCTGTTCTATAATGCAAACCTTACATTTTTGCCAGTCTGGATGCAAATGTTTCTTCTCTCCCATTGCTTTTTTTGACCACCCAGCTAGGAAGGATTTTCCTCCCCTCTTCATTCACTCTTAGAACCGTTTGTTTGGAGCCTCCAAATACCACTTATATAGTACCTCATAGAGTGGATATTTGTGTGCGTCATATTTCCCCTACTCACTTGGAACCTACCATATAGTTTTGTGTAAATATACTCAATGATGTTCACAAAACGAAATCATTTAATGACACATTTCTCAGAACATATCTCTATTGTTAAGCAACACCTGGCTGTATTTATTTGCTGCCCCAAGTACACTGGCGAGATAGGCCTAGTATAGCCACTATAGATACTTCTTTCAAAAAGGGGAGACAAAGGCACCCAGCAGTTATTGGTCAGTTGTAATTCTTATATTCAGTGGGACACACGTTGCTAATTCCTTGATTAGGTTTTTGTTCTGCTGCCCGGGAGTCATCTATCTTGTCTCTAGCTCTGTTTTCTGGACTTTTTGCTTCTGCCCCCTGAGTCATCTTTCCTTTTACCAGTGGGACACACGTTGCTAATTCCTTGATTAGGTTTTTGTTCTGCTGCCCGGGAGTCATCTCTTGTCTCTAGCTCTGTTTTCTGGACTTTTTGCTTCTGCCCCCTGAGTCATCTTTCCTTTTACGTAAAAAAATTAGCTCATTCTTGCAGGTGAGTGGTTTTCCCCTTCTGTTTCATGCCTATAATATGTCAAGGGTCCAAAGTCTTCCCTTCATTTTTTACTATCTGTTTTTTTCAGTTCAAGCTGATATACTTCCTTTAAAGCCTTG